CCCAAGTGTTAGGCTACAGCGTAGGGATCATTCCTGCTAATAGCGATCTGCGAGTTTAGTGCAAAATCGCATGAACGTACCGGAAAGCCTGGTGCGTTCCAGCCTGGAAAATGACCCAGCTGTTCAATGAGTGATTTTTCCGCCAGAAATTTAAGTGCCCGTACGCAAGGACCACGCGTACATGGAGGCAGTATTTGAAACCTTTAAGTTGTATTTGGACGGGGAATATCCTCCTAAAATCTCAGCTTCCCAACTTTTCTGGTTTCCGAGTTGGTCATTTTCTCGCCAGAGAATCTCACGGGGCCGTACATAAGAATCACATACGACTGGGGGCTGAATTTGATAGGTTGTTGTTGTACGTATGCTGGGAACATTCTCTAGACTTCAACCTCCCAGCTTTGCTAGTTCCCGAGTTAGTCATTTCCCCGCCAAAAAATCTCACGGGGTTTACGTGAGAACCACGTACATTAGGGGCTGGACTTGATAGGTTTATGTTGAATTTATGCTGGGAACATTCGTTGAATGTTTCAGCCTCCCAGCTTTCCTGGTTCCCAAGTTAGCCATTTTCCCGCCAAAAAATCTCACGGGACCTACGTGAGAGCCACGCATGCCTAGGAGCTGAATTTGATAACCTTAAGTTGTTCATGTGCTTGGAACATTCCTTGAAAATTTCAGCCTCCTAATTTTCCTGGTTCCCAAGTCAGCGATTTTCGCGTCAGGAGCCCTTATGGGGCTGTACGCGGGAACCATGCATGCCCGGGGGCTGAATTTGAAATCTTTGAGTTCTATGTAGACGGGGGGCATAATCTCAAAATTTCAGCTTTCTAGCTTTTTCCGTTCCCGAGTTAGCAATTTCCCCGCCAAAATTTTCACCCTCTCGTACGCGGGGCGCAGACTTGCACAAAGGTTGGTACCGCAGTTCTGGAGAGGCACGTGGTCGGGGAACCCAACAGCAAAATTTTGACGCTGGGCTTGCTTGGTTGCCGAGTTAAAATACCGGGACAGACGAACACACAGAGACAGGATCGTTGCAATATGCGTTTTTGCAGTTTGCATAAGCAAAAACGCATAAAAAGTGTCCACATTTTCAAATACATCCAAACGTAAGGAATAACTAGGACTTATCTATACGATGTAGCATCTTCATTGCATATGCAGCACAATACCCCAGTGTCGACTGTAACAAAGCGGCGTATTTCGACGAATAGGTTGAAAAACCATTGTGATATTTTTAAAAAGAAATGTTCCGCTGCAGCTTGCTACGCACCGGCCGGATGACATACACTGCTAAGTGTTTATTACTCTGTATCACATGATTACTATTCACCGTAATGCCGATGTGGGGCTCTTGATGTAATCTGAGGTGGCCTAGCGGAACGATGTCAAGTCCTCAAACATGAGCACTTACGCTCATCATTTTTCTAAATATCACTGATTAGTAGACAACCTTCTTGCGGCTACTCAATCACTGATAATCGAGTCCGTCGAGTGCTAGCAAAGATAGCAAAGTGAATCTCTGGCTGGTTTGTTTTTCCTTTCGTGGCCAGTCTACATTGTCCTGCCCGCATCTAATTCAGCAACGTTTCAGTTCCTCCTTTTTCACAGAAGGGCACTATAAAAGTGTTTTGCTTCGCTGCTGCCCCTCGTCACACTTAGTTTTTTTTCTTTTACTAGTAATAATTTTCGCAGTTTTGTGCATACAAATAGCATCTTGAAGAATTTGTATGAATCAAATCCTATTTTTTCCGACTGAAGTGATTTGTCTATAGTGTCACACGCACTGGTACTTAGTAGGCACTTAGCCAGGACTCACAGTCTGATAAATGTTTCAGAACAATCCTCCCTGCTGAATTCCTTATCGTTGTGGCAGCGTTGTTTGTGACGCAGGCGAAACAGAATTTTCTATTCAACTGACTATGAAGAATGTTGAGAGAAAAGTTCGCAAAATTTTGCGACGACTGGGTAGTGGAAATCGTCGAGCTGCGTGGCAGATGCATGACGGGACGGTGAAGGACTCCAGTTCTGGAAGTGATTTGGATGACCTGACGCAGCATTCAGAAAATGAAAAAATCAGCTGTAGAAGCGTCAGCAGTCGGCATGTGCATCATAAATCGATAATGGCTCCAATAGCGTTCCAGTCCAGGAGAGCCTCAACAAAGAGCAAGGAACTATTCTCAGTAAGTGAAGGTTCCTAAGTCAAAAAAAGCAGTGTTTTCTAGATTTGCATTCCAAGCAGTTTGTTTTCACAGTTATTTATTGAGTCTGAACAATTTGCAGGAAGCTGACCAGCAAGAGCTGAAGGAACAGCATAGCAGAGCTGGACCAGATTTCTGTTGTGATGATCAAGTGTTATTTACGCGTTCGCTGATAGCAGCGTCAACGCAGCCGCCGAGCGCTGCCAGCGAAAACACACAGGCAGGCGCAGAAGTAAATTCGTTCGTTCACCACAGAACATGCGAATCGGAAGACGTTGACGATGTTTCCGACTACTCCGCTTACGGACAGTTGAATGCAGCACGTAAGTCTGCAAACGAACTGGACATATCAGTGGATGACTCGTTGCCAGAATCATGGGGTCGTGAGAGTGGCTACTTGTCCGGCATTGACCTCCGGTACAGCGCTTCGGCAGCCGAATCACCAGCACTTTCACCATGCGTCGTTGTTAAAAATCTGCAACCGTTGCTGCGGAATGCTACTGACACAACCGCCCAACACCTGTTTCACGATGAAATGAACAGAAACAGAAAGGGTATTTTGCAAGTCGCTCATGCAGTCCCACGTCGTTTGGGCGTTGCTGGTGGCAAGAGACTTAGAGACGAGGATGCTGAGGTACCGGATTATGAAACCACTGAATTGCTGCTCTCTGAATGTGTCGCGGAAACGAAATATATCACGACGATATTTGAACTCGCATCAGGTGGTATTGTTGGCCTGATCGATGACGTCCTCAACGAATTTGGCATTTGGTTTAACAAAGAGGTTGGCCTGATTGGGATCGCATGTGAAGTGCAATGGTCTGTACCGGAGAAGCATCGTCATCGAGCTATCGAAATGAGGTATATACAAGGACAACTTTGTTCCATTCAGTGCACCAGCGGTAAAAAACCTGCACAAGCATTCAACAGAACCGAGAGGCATCGTAATATTCTTTAAATTATCACCTTTTTTCAAAGCCTTTATGTGAAAATTACCATTAAGTTTATGGGAATGGGGCTTGCATTCCTTCTGCTTGCTTCCTCGTAAACCTGACACGAAACGGTTTGATGGTAGTTTTGGCTGCCAAATCAATTTTTGTTAAGGCTGAAGTGTAATCTACGTAGTACCATAGTTTCCAAAAAACCTTCGATCGAAAGCAGTTCTTGAAAATTAGCTCTCACAGATTCTGGACTTCGTCTAATTTGTTCCTTATACCTCTGCAATTGAAATGCTCATTGAGAGAAAAGGTAAATCTGTAGGGAATCGTTTAATAATCAGTTAGCTTCGAATGGCTGTTGCAGTCCAGCTCTTCTAAATAGAAAAAAATTAATAATTAATGCACAGAATGAAGGAAGCTCTTCATCGTTCACTTCGACAAAATAATCGCCGTGTGCTGAACATGAAAAGTAAGACTGGCAATTACCAGTTACCGTTAACTATGATATCAGCTGACACGGCTGAGGGATGCGAACACGACTGCCAGCTGGATTGTTTTCAAGGTTCTTTTAAATCACTAAAATAACAACACCATAAATGTTCGGCTGCGAAAATCATCTTCCTTTGCAATAATTTGCCAGGCACAAGAAAAATCAAAACTCCTGAGATCTATGCGTTTGTTCACCACTGAGAGCACGATGCGGCAAGTTTATTACTGTGCGTCTCCCTATGCACCAAGAACATCAAGATCGCCCATTAGTTTTAACGAAGATCCAATGTTGCTTGGATACTCTATACTCCGACCGCACCTGTGAAGGAGGGTACTATAAAGACGTTCCTTCGAATACGCCAATCACTGACCAGAATTTGGTCGATTCGTTTTTTTTTGTATCTGGCATAAGTCTCGCCTACGACCACCTTGCATTATTCCGGAGCCAGGTGTACTGCCCTAACACACCTAACTTTAGCTTTCAATCTATTCTTTTCCCTGACCTGTAATCTCGAACCCAACCTAGGGCTAATGTTTATAACTGTGGAAAAAAACTATAAACTAAAAATTCCATCAGTGATGTGAAGTGAATGGATTTTAATCAAATTTCAAGCAGCCGTGCCCCCTCGCCCACACCGTCTTTTCACTCCTGCCTATCTTGACCAATAACCTGCTTTTCTGGTCTGGTTTTGACCGCGAAATGGTATAAAAGATGAAGGAAATTCTGTGGTCTGTATACCTCACGTGGTCCTGAAAAGATTATTCTGTACATTTAGTTGCATGTATTATGCGATGTCACATTAACCTAGTGCGCACCTGTAAAAGCTTTTGCAAATGCACAGTCGCGGCTGTGCACTAGTGCGTCTCATCAGCGCTAAATGCTTTCTAGCAAAGTTTATTCTCCTAAAGTGATTGTGTCGAGACCTAGGAGTCCCTTTTATCTGTTCAAATACAATCTTGCGGTAATACGAAGCGCACTGACAATTATAGAAAGGCCTGCGTGCATAGTGTTTGTAACTGACTTAATGTTAATAAAGAATTCAAGTTGGATCCTGCGTAATTCAGATTTCTAATTCGCAGCGGCACTTTGATAAATACGAGGGGAAAATTGGTAAGTGATTCATCCAATTTGCGAACTTTCTTCTCACCTCAGGCATTCACCGACGATTCTACAAATCGCTGCTGCCGTATCAGCATGCCGATACCGGTGCTTGGCACAGACCGTACTGGACTTTTCATGGGACCAGTTGGCAAAGCGCACCACAGCCAAATCCCAAACAGTTCCTTTTTGGACGCGATGCGACAAAACTAGACAGCGGTTGCCTCGTTGCTGTCAATGTGATTGCCTTAAAAATCGTGATTTAATGCTAACAGTTGTCCTGATTTTCACTGATTCAAATTCTCACTTACATTATAATTAATGTTTTTGTTGGTAGAAATTAACTTTAGCAAAAGCGTAGCTTAAACGATTGGCGGTTTGTAAATTTCAAGTTTTCTTGTAGCATCAGTCTTTAAACTATTTTTGCACTTCTTGAATCTTTCCCAGGCTGCTATTCTGGCGCAAAAAAATTCATTTTCCTTTTGTTTCTTAGCCGATTTTTTGTTATTTGGTAATATTAATTTCACTCCTGTTTGTAATAGTTGCGTAATTGCATCCTACCGGCCCTTATTGAGCAAACGAAGTTTATAAATGTGTTTGAGAATAAATCGAAATTTCGTGAACAATTGGAACTTTTTAGACAAATGCAGTTTTATACGCCTTAAGGAAAAGGCTGGTAA